GAAGAGAGTAGCCACCGGCCGCTGGGAAGGAGCGAACCCTTAGGTCGGGCCAGAGCCGGCTTCCCAGCGGGCCTGCCTCCTGCTTAGCTGTGGATGGCCATCGGAAATCCCACTACTCACTGGCTCTCCGTGGCACTTTCTGCTCTCACACACGGTACAACGGATGGTTTACTGCCCCTCCCTCTATAAACGCAGGTGCTACGGGACCAGGAAGGACCGTCTTTGTCACTACGGGACGCCTGGCACTAAGGACTTGCCAGACACACGGCGGGCACTGGAGAGATGACGACTGTGGAGTAGTGACGAATGGGAAGCAGAAGGCTTGAACACTCTGCACACGGTGGTAGGTAACCCGAAGGACTCTGCCGACCAGACCCTCTGTCAGCTGCACTCCATAGGTGCTAACCGTGACCACCTCAGAGGGGGCTTCCACGGTGGCAAGATACAACCCAGAGCTGCCCACCTTGCTCGGTCCACCCCTCAACAATCAGCTGTCCCCTCCCAACTAGTGACCCAGAAAAAGCCCCCGAGGAAGATGCGCTATGAGCCAGGGTATCTGTCAGAGCGAGACTGGAAACAGCTGAAGATGAGTCTGTCCAATGCCCAACAAAAGGGGAAGGATTAAATAAAAGACTGCACAGACAGTGGTTCAAGTCCTGGACCCGGCAGCTAAAAACACAGGCTGGGCGCATGTGCCTGCGTGCCCGCCCAAAATCCTGAGAGGAGAATGGAGGGTAAGGAGCTGCCGAGGGGACATCCCTCCTGGGGGTGATCTCGCACTTTCCCCCTCTCTGTCTCTCTCAAGCAAGCACACGTCCTATAGCAAACTTAAGATAAATAAATAAATAAATAAATACAATTCACTTTTCCCTGAAATCCGGATTTTTCTCAAAATGTAGCAAAAGGCACTTATAACCTGAAGTACGAAGGAATGCATAATAGAAACCTGACAAGCCGCTCGCGTGTGTGCCTCCTGAGAGGCGGAAGGGCAGGACAGACCGAGTGTGACGTCGCGCCCCGCGGGGTGGCCCTACCTGCACGAAGAGCGTGGCTGAGTACCGGATCATCCTCTGCAGCCGCAGAGTGTTTGGATGACACGGAGGGTCCTGGTTCAAGCCCAAGGTTAGGATCTTCTTACTGAATTGGAGCAAACACAGCACGGAGCCCGGGTGGTCAGCCTCAGGAGCGAGGGCGAGCCGGGCTTTCACGCGGGAAGATGTGTGGGCGGGTCAGCGCTGCAGTGTTTCCGTGGGCTGTCCCCAAGGCCCCGGTGCGCCTCGGCACATGACGGACGCCCGGTCACTGAGAGCCTGACCAAGCGGGCAGAGCCGGCTCCACGGGAGCGACGTACGTGGCTGTGCCGGGTCGGGCTCTCAGATGGCCCCGCTTCGTTCAGGGCTCTGCTGTCCCTGTCTTAAACTCTTCCTCATCTCTGCAGAGTGGACCTGCACTTTGATTTTGTTCCAGGCGCCATGAGTTATCAAAAAGGTCCTGCACGTCTGCGAGGGCAAAGACCCCCTCACCCAGTTCTGTGAGTCACCACACTCCCCACACCTCAGGGCTGGCTGAAGCCAACAGCCAGGCCACCGTGGAAGGCAGCTGTGGACTGGAAGACGGGGCCCGGCTGTCCATCCTGGCTCTGCCGCTTCTGCGAGCTGTGGTGTATTTTCTAACTTAAAAACGGGGACGCTACCCTCTACCTCCCAGGGGAGTTTGGTGGACGACGCGGTGCCATGTGAGGGAGCAGTGAGTGGCCGGCACCCAGCTGGCATCTACAACCGTCTCCTAGTTCCCTCACAGTAACCAGCACCTGAAATCTTTAACCGGCTCGGCCACAACGGTGAAGGGGTGGGGTGCCACTGCGTGATGCTGAGCTGTGTGGGGGCCCAGACTCAGGTCCTGGAGTGACCCAAACGACCCCCTGCGCTGGGCACGGCAGTGCACGCCACGAACCTGGCCAGCTGAGAGGCTGGGGAGGATCTCAGCGTGAGGAGATCCTGCCAAGGACGCTGCCCTCGGGGAAAGAAGGGAGGGAGGGAACGAACAGAGGAGGGAGAAGAGGAGGAAGTGAAGAAAAGGAAGAAAGAGAGGGAAGGAAAGAAATTCTTAACCAAAAGCTACTGCGATGCAATAAGGGCAGAGCTGGCACCCTCCTGAGGCTCTGTCACCCAGGCCCACTGTCATGGGCTCGAGGTAAGCCAGCCGGGTCTGCATGCCAACCCCCCCCTACCTTGCCACAGCGCCGCTCCGCCCCCGGGAGCCTACCTCAGAGCGTCGATGAGCTCGTAGACTTTCTGCACTTCCACTCGCAGGTCGCCGGCATGCTCCAGGCTGTAGGTGGTCTCCCCGGCACTGAGGCGACATCATAGGACGTGGTGAGCCCACCGTGCTGCCTGCTGATGCTAGAGGACCTACCACGCCTGGGGCTGCCCTGTCCACTACTGGGTGCCTGCTCACAGTCGTGCTCCCGTGGGCACGGGGCTCCGAGAGCACACTGCCCCGCTCAGCCCCACGGCCCCAGCACCCCGAAAAGCGTGTGGGACCCTGTGGGGCTCAGCACAGCCACTGAGGGTGAACGAGCGGAGGAAATGGGCTCGTGGTCCTTTGCAGGAGCAGGAGTGAGACTTCTGGAGAGGCGCTTGGCCATGCCACTCTGCAGGGGCAGGGGGAGCCCACGAACCCTGAGGGCATCAGGGGAACAGAGCGGGAAAGCCACCGGATGCAGGGAGAAGGCCCCGGGAACCCAAGGCGAGGAAGCGCCAGGTGCAAGCCCAGATGGGCAGGGCACCCCTTCAGCCGCATCCAGTGCAAAGGCAGCCTTGCTCCAATTTCAGACCAACGGGCAGGGGTTCGGGGCGGGGCAGGGCGGGGATGCTGGTCCTGGTACTCCAAGGAGGGAAGGAGAGCCGTGTGTACCAGGCAGGGTCTCCCCATAGGGGTACCATCCGATCACCACCCAAACCGCTGAGTGAAAGGACCACGCGGGGAGCTGCAGGGAGGGGAAGTGGAGCTCGGGCAGTGAGCAGAAAAGGAAGAGCAGCCCAGGAGGAGCGTATGATGGGAAGGGGCCCTGGGACAATGGCAGCTGAGAGGGCTCGAGAAACGGGGCTCCTCTCCTCCCTGCACGTGCTGGCAGGGGCCGCTGCTATCCAGCTGTTAGGACGGGGGCAGAGGGGGTTGTCCTACAGGGATTTCTCCATAAATAGAAAACCGAAAATCTTCCATTTTTAGGTATTTTTTTTGCTATAGCACGCATACGCTCAGTGGAAAGACAGACAAAGATAGAGACAGAAAGCAAGAAATCACTCCCCGGGGGGATGGCCATATTACAATCCCTTCTCCATTTTCCTCTGGGAATTCTGGCCACGCACGCACACATGCCCAGCATGATTTTTAAGCCGCCAGGTCTGGGACTCGAGCTGCGGTTGAATACGTGGGAGTCCAGCAACGTAACCGTTATGCCATCTGCTGGCCCCAGGAGCCATGCTCTTGGGCAGGGGACCGCAAGTCTTTTGCATAAAGGCCAGGTCAGCACACAGCCCTACAGGCCGTGCAGGCCCTACCACCACTGTGCCAGGCTGGCCGGCAGTGCAAAGGCAGCTGCAGACGGGGGTCCAATGAGCATCGTTGTGTCCCAGTCATGGTCAGCCTGATGCCTCAAAGCCACCGGACACAGCATCCCCGGTCCTGGCGTGAGCATAAGACCTCCCGCACCTCCTTCCAGCTGCCGCTGCGCAGTGGTGCCTGTCGTTGAGGCTCGTCCCGACCTCAGAACCCAGGGCAGCTGGGGATGGCCACGTCTCTGCAGAGCTCCCATGACCAGACGTGTACCCCACTGACAGACACGGAGAGGGCTCTCCTCAGCCAGCCACAGAAGCAAGCGTGGTCAGAGCCACGAGTTTATCCCAGTACGGAAGAACGGGTGCAAGGTGCCAGGAAACAGCACGAGGCTGGAAACAGAGGGACCACTTACTTTAACGACGTTGCCATCCTGATGTATTCAGGAGCCTTCTGGTCAACCTTCTCCATGCAGACCCGTAATTTCTAAGGACGGAGAGAAGAGTGAGCAATGCTTTGGGTACAGAAACGAGGCTCCGTCGGCAGAGAGGTACTGCACATGGCCATTCTCTAACCATTTTAAACTTTACCCCAATTGCTGGGGGTGGGGGGCATGCGCTCACCAGAGAGGGCAAGGGAGAAAGCATTCCCCAAGGACCCAGTGGCTTAAACTCACACCACGCGTGTGCGTGCGTGCCCAAGATCCCGAGAGGAGAATGGAGAAGGAATTGCGGCGTGGCCATCCCCTGGGGGGTGATTTCTCGCTTTCTGTCTCTCTGTCTCTCTCTGTCTGGCAAGCACACGCCCTATAGCAAAAACCTCTCCAAGAAAAAAAAAAAAAAGAATTTCTCTAAAAAAAAAGAGAAAAGCAGCTCTATGCATGTGCACACACACACACACACACACACACACACACACACACGTTTTCGTGAAAGTTTCTTTCGTGAGAGACAGTGATACCAGCACTGGCAGGTGGGCGGGGCCTGGTCCTGCTGCAATCCACCCCCTTCCCTCTGCCCTCCAGCCAGTCAGGATAGTGAGTGCTCGTGTTCCTGGTCACCCGGGCCAGGGATCCCCACCCACAGTCGGCCACGTGGCTTCCAGCACTTCCATTCAGTGCTGTCCGACTGCGCTGCCAGGCTGCTTGAGACCTCCTTGGTCTCCCTTCAGAGAACATTCCCCAAGGGGGCGTGGTCACGCTGCCATCCCTTCTCCATGTCTCCATCCTGTTGAGATTTGGGGCACACGAGCACATGCACCCCATGTGTTCTTCAAGCCACCAGGGCCGGGATTCGAACCGCAGTCGGCCATGTGGAATCCAGCCCCCTTAACCACTAGCCATAGGGCTAGCCCCTACACATTTTTCTAAAATGGAAAAATACAAAGAGCAAGTTTTGTTCTCTTTATCGTTATCACTAACTTCTGGATTTACAAATCTTTATAAACAGAAAATCTTGCGGAAGGGAAAGAAAGTGCGTGTGGAGCTTTTATTAGATGTTTTTGAAAGGACCAAGACCTTCCGGGGCACAAGGGACTGTGTCTACCAAGACAGAGAAGAGAAAGCAGCCGCTGTGCTCTTCCTTTGCCAGGTGCTGCCCGGGAACAGCAAGGAGCTGGCATAAGGCACCACTGGGGCACACGTCCGAACACAAGGAAGCGAAAAGCACAGGGTCTCTCTGAAGAAGAGCGGCGTCCCGGAGCTGCACAGGCTGGAGGACGGCTACGCCTGCAGCTCAGCGCGGGGTGACTCATTCACACCCTGGGCAGGAACCTCAGTGCCCACACTGAGTCACACCTACAGAACTGCCAGCATGCCACTCGGCCACCGGGCAGACACCCCCCCCCCACCGAGTCCTGCATGAGTCTCCCGACCTGTGGCTGCCTGCCTGCCCAGCTCCCCACACACACACCACCCCGCTAGTGCTCCTGAGCTCTGGTCTCTCCTGGCCATTAAGAGGCTGTTCCCATGGAGAAAGTGCACCACGATCCCCTCGGTCTGCGTCTCCTGGGGGTGTTCTGGGGTCTCGCCAACAAGGGCTGAGGCATTTGAACAGACATGGAGGGTAAACCTGTAAATCCTGAAGCTCCCGAATGAGATTCCCAGGGTTCTGGCCCAAGGTGTACTGCACCTCCAGTCTCTAGCCTCCCCAAGATCCACCCACACGGGCGGCATGGCAACTGCCCTCACTCCCTGTGCCTCTGTGCCACCACGGCCTCCACCTCCTGCCTTCAAGTGGGCAAGAAAGGGGGAAGGAAGGAGCCTTTTCTCCCCACGCCAGCGCCCGGGCCGGGAGATGCCCTGGCCCCCAGGGAGGTGGCCGCGGGCAGACCCACCTCGTAGAGTCGCACGACCTGCGGGGCGTGCCCCTCCTCGTCCAGCCGCCGCTCCCTCCGCAGCAGCGTGTCCTTGCAGTGCGTGCAGCAGCGGATGCGGCCGTCGTCCTTCTCGTCCAGGACGGAGCTCACGCTGCTCACGCTGCTGATGCTGCCCCGGCGGGAGCCCTGGGCGCTGCTGGGCGACTGGCTGGGGCTGGTGTGGGCGCTCAGCGAGTCCTTGCTGGCGCTGGTGAGCTTATCTGTGGACCACGGCAAGACGGGCAGCAGTGAACCTCCACCCTCGGGCGGCCATCGCCCCTGCCCGCCCGCAGCCAGTCACAGGAGTGGGTCTGGGCAGGGAGGAGAGTGGGCCCCGCCTGGCCTGCGGGAAAGCACCTGCCCCTCGGCCTCTCCGGGTCAAACACTGTCCTCACCATGGAGGCAAGGCCACACAACCCAGGTCCCTCCTCCACAGTCCCTGTGCCTCAGACACGACCCTCGAGCTCTACGAGACTCCTGCACAGCCTTTCCCCGGTCCCGAACAACCAGCCCCCACCCTTCCCAAAGCCCAGCTCAATGGCATGTCCTCCTGGAAGCCTGCTCCACTGCCCCAGAGCAGAAACACATCGGGAGCTCTTCCCACCTTCCCCCACGTAACAGCTCTCTGCACGCCGAGCATGAGCAGGGACTGCCTTACACACACCCACATCCCCAACATATCCCGCAGGGTCGCCCGCAGCAGCTGCCCAGGGCTGCAGGGTAACAAATTCTGGAGAGGAAAGGTGCGTGTGCCCCCAAATGTAGCTGATGGAGCCTCAGCTCAGACAGGGCATCAAGCTCAGGGAGAAAGGAAAGTACTAACATCCTGAGAGGAGAACGGAGGAGAAGGGACTGCAGTGGGGCCATGCCCCGGGGGGGAGTAATTTCTCACTTTCTTTCTGTCCCGCGAGCACATGTGCCCTATAGCAAAAATCTCTTCAAAAAAAAAAAAAAAGTCGTTAAAAAAAAAATGTCAGCGAGACCATGGATGGCCCACAAAGTCGTGAAATATTTATTATTTATCTTTTGCAAAAGAAGTGTGCGAGCCCTGCTACAAGGCACTGTGTCTCACGGCACGGCACGCAGCCTGCAGCGGGCTTCAGGGAGTTGGCAGGCACGAGTGAGGCTCCACCGTCCCTGACTGGCCGGTGGCAGCCCCGAGGAGACCAGGGCCTGCCCCCCTGCCCGTCACTTACTCTCCAGGGGCAGACTGATGAGCTCCATGCAGCTCCTGCACATGATGGACCCGCAGAGGCGGCAGTGGTGGCGGCGGTTACGCAGGGAGAACTTGCTCCCGCAGTCTGGGCAGAAAGGGACGTCCTGATCGTTGACCCAAGGCACCACGGACTTTTCTATTGCTTTGGGAAGAACGAGACAAAAAATGAACCAACCAAATAGCACACCATTTTTAAAAGATTTCGGCAGGGAACAAGGTAGAAGCAGAACGGACGCGAGGGAAGGTCTGACGTTACCTCGGATCTTGGCAGACTCGGTATTGGTCCTGTCAAATGCAGTGAGCTGGTCGGGAGAGAACAGTGCCACAGGGAATTAAGCAGGGCAGGCATTCCCGCCCCTCTCCGCAGGCCCACCACCCAGAAATCGGGCAGCAAAGAGCTTGGCTGCATTCTCCAGTCTCGGCGTCAGCCCAGCCCAGAGTCACGAAGTAATCTCCTATGGGACAGAGTACTGGCTTTGCATCCGGAAGTCTTCTTCTCCAAACCCACCTCCTCCTAAGCTCCCCATCACAACAGCCAGCTGGGCCTCTGACTCTCCACGGGCCCCCAGCCGGTCATGGATCGCTGCTGTACCATGTGCACACAGAGCTGCACTGTGGTTGTGGTCACGCCACCGCACGGCCCAGGCATCTAGGGCCAACGCACACAGCCAGTGCTACCAGGGATGCGCTTGGCCACCAGACGGGAAGGGACGTTCATCAGGTGCCCGCGCTGCGTGCCGGACCAGGCTGAGTACGCCCGGCAGGCTGGTCACCACTCCTCTGTGGGCCATGGAGTGCAATCACATACAATGCCCCTGAGTGACTGTGCCCGGGACTCCCAAAAGAGAAGAATCTGAAGGCGAAATCCTTTCCCTGGGGCCGGCCTCCCAGTGCAGCAGCTGAGCTCCGCACAAAGAGCGGGATCCCACACAGCTAGCCACGAGCGGCTGAAAGGACAGACCCACACGTGTGTGCATGCCCAGGGCCCTGACGAGATAAATGGAGGAAAAGGGGTTGCAGCATGGCCACGCCTCATGGAGGCGGGGGGAGTCCTCTTCCTAGTGTTTAAAAATAAATAAATAAATGGGCTAACAGGTGTCATGGTGGTTAAGGTGCTGGACTCCCACATAGCCAACCGCAGTTTGAATTCCAGACTGGGCAGCTTGCTTTCACGCTTTCTCTCTGTGTCTCTCCTGGTGAGTACACGTGCCATATAGCAAAATTTCAAAATTGATGATAATATGGGTCAGCAGGTAGCGCAGTGGTTAGGTAGTTGGACTCCCACATGGCCGACTGCGGTTTGAGTCCCAGATCCAGTGGCCTGAGAATCGGCTGGGCGTGTGTGCATGCACATGTGCCTCAGATCCCAGGAGGAGGATGGAGGAGAAAGAACTGTGGAGTGGCTACTCCCCAGAGAGTGATTCTTCACTTTCCCTCCTTCTGGGTCTCTCTCCAGTAAGTACAAGAGCCCTATGGCAAAAACCTCTAAAAAATAATAAGCATATAAAAAGATAATAAGGGACCAGCAGTTGGCGTAATGGCTATGTCGCTGGACTCCCATGTGGTTGACCGCGGTTCAAGTCCCGGACCCGGTGGCTTAAACTCACACCGGGCACGTGTGCGTGCGTGCCCAAGATCCTGAGAGGAGAATGGAGGAGAAGGGATTGCGGCGTGGCCATCCCCCCCGGGGGTGATTTCTCTCTTTCTGTCTCTCTCCGACTTTCTAGTGAGCGCAAACACCTTATAGCAAAAACCTCTCACCCACCCCCCAAAAGAAAAAATTAAAAAATAATAAATAAAATTAAATAATTAAAAAAAGAAAGAAGGAAGAAAAGTTTCCCAGCAGTCTAAGTGAGCTTCCCGGGCGGGGGTCCTTTCAGCCTTTCGACCTGGGCCATTCTCCTCAAGGGCCAGCCAAGCTAGACCGGCCCACTACACCCTCCGAACGCCGCCGCATCCCTGCTGCGGACCACCATGATGGACGTGGGCACTGCTCTGTTTAACACTGGGTATATATGACATACCTAACATATGCTGTGGAAATGCGGTTTTCTTCCCCAGAGAGTTTGTACTTGAGGGGAAAAAACGTGCTTGAAAACAACACCATTTACCTTCTCTAACCTGATTATTAATTTATTGACTTCGACGACATAGTGGTCAATTCTGGCAGCTCGGTGTCTTTTGAAGTCAGAAAGATGGCTTCGCACCGCACCTAGGAGGGAAGGCAGAGACGTGGGTGAGTGGTGGCCCTCTGAGGGAGCTTCTCTTCCTTGCTGCTCATTCCGAAAGCAACGGAAGAGTCTAGGACTTGAAGCCTTACCTGAAAAGCACATGCAAGGGACTCTGCTAAAACTGGAGGCCACGGAGGGCAGCACGAGAGACGGGAGTTCTGCAGACGAGACCTGGGACTCTGCAGCCAGCCTGTGCTCAGGTTTCAATTCTGCCAGACATGCACGGCCGCGGCTGGATGACTGACCCTCTCTGTAACCTGGAGTACTGGCCTCGAAAGTGGCAGGAACAATATCTATTTCTTACGATTGTTATGGATTAAGCAAGTTAAAATGTGTCAAGTCTTTAGGACACTGGCATGTGAATGTTAAATAAGAAGGGCAGTAACATTGTGGATGACTTTTTTAATTTTTATTTTATTTATTTTTTTTTACTAGAACAAAAACAATTCTTCTCAAGGTGGCAAAAAAAAAAAAAAAATTGTAGGGATCAGCAGTTAGCTTAATGGCTATGTCACTGGACTCCCATGTAGTCTAATGCAGTTCGTGTCCCGGACCCGGTGGCTTAAACTCACACCAGGTACATGTGCGTGTGTGCCCAAGATCCCGAGAAGAGAATGGAGGAGAAGGGATTGCCGCGTGGCCATCCCCCCGGGAGGGGTGATTCCTCGCTTTTTATCTCTCTGTCTCTTTCGGGCAAGCGCACGTACCCTATTGCAAAAAACTCTCAAAAAAATGAAAAAAGAATTTTATTTATTACTATTACTATTTATCATTATTTTACTACAGGGCTCATTTGCTCACCAGAGACAGAGAGCCATGTCTGAGACTTGAACGGTGGTTGGTCACGTGGGAGTCCAGTGCCTCAACTACACCACCTGCTGGCCCTGATAATAAATGTTGAAATTGAATTGAACAATCTAACTCTTCCAGCTTTTTTTTTTTTTAAAGAGACAGATTTTGGGAACCAGCAGTTAGCGTAATGGCTATGTCGCTGGACTCCCACGTAGTCGACCGCAGTTTGCGTCCCGGATCCGGTGGCTTAAAACTCACGCCGGGCGCATGTGCGTGCGTACCCAAGATCCCGAGAGGAGAATGGAGAAGGGATTGTGGCGTGACCATCCCCCCTGGAGGGTGATTTCTTGCTTTCTGTCTCTCTGTCTCTCTGTCTGTCTGACAAGCACACACGACCTATAGCGAAAAAACCTCTCCAAAAAAAAAGTAAGAGACAGATTTTTTGTTATAGGGCACACGCACTCGCTGGAAAGACAGAGAGAGACAGAAAGTAAGAAACCACTCTCCCGGGGGTATGGCCACAGCACAGTCTTTTCTCCTCCATTCTTCTCTTAGGATTTTGGGCATGCATGCACACGCACACACGCAGCAGAGTTTCAAGTACCGGGTCCAGGACTCCAACCGTGGTTGACTACATGGGAGCCCTACGTGGGAGTCCAGCGACGTATCCATTACACCATTGGCTGGTCCCAACCCTTCAGTGAGTTTTAAGCCACTGGGTCCAGATCTTGAACCGTGGTCAACTACTCGGGAGTCCAGAGATGTAACTATTATGCCATCTGCTGGTCCCTCTCCATTGGAATTTTGAACACACAGTCGCAGGTGCCTAGTGTGCTTTTAAAGCCACCCGGGTCTAGGAAGCCTTCCTCCCCCCAGGCGGGATGGCCACAATACAATCTCTTTTTCTCCTTTCTTCTGTTGGGAATTTGGGCACACATGCACATGTGCCTGGCATGTTTTCTTTTCTTTTTTAAAAAAATTATTTTATTTCATTTATTATTATTATTATTATTATCTAATTGGCTATAGGTCAAGTGTGTACACCAGATATAGACAGAGAGAGAGAGAAAGTGAGAAACCAAGCCACCAAGTCCAGGACTTGAATCGGGGTCTGCCACATGGGAGCCCAGTGACTTAACCACCATGCCACTTGCTGGCCCTGCACCAGG